ATCACCTAGCTTCTCACTATCCTGGGGGATTATCACCCCCAAGAGAGGATTATCACCTCTCACTATCCTGGGGCATTATCACTCCCTAGAGAGGATTATCACCTCTCCCCTGGTAGATTTCGGACTGTTACACCAATATGTAGAGAAAAGTGACCTGCTGTCCATATTTGGAGTACTTCATCCCTTACCCCTTTTCCCCATAATAATTCTGGTCTAGTTACTTGCTTATCTAAGGGGTTATGGGTTAAGAGCATTAACAATCAATTAAGTGAAATTCCAATGCAAACTCCCATTTTAAACGACTCTCCCTGTCATAGGCGTAGACACTTTCTCTCTATTGAGGTCGTCCGCATATAAAGAGTTGTACTTCCCTAGAAAGATCTTGAAGCCAGAAGTTGATGTGAACACTTATTATTATTATTGTCGTTGTTGTTGTTGTCGATGATGACACTTATTACTTGGTTTACTTGTCCTCCAATCATCTGTTTCAAGTTTATTACAAAGTGCGACAAGTGTTATTACAAAGTGCGACAGCTTTTTTTATTACAAAGTGCGACAGCTTTTTTATTACAAAGTGCGACAAGTGTTATTACAAAGTGCGACAGGTATTACAAAGTGTGACAATTTTATTACAAAGTGCGACGATTATTACAAAGTGCGACACTACAAGGTGAACGGCAGAGAGCAAGAGTCAACACTCGTAGAACAGGAGAAGACGATCGCCAAAGAGAGCGCGTTAGAAGTAGTAGAAGAAGACAACATTTTAGCGAAGAAAGTCGGCAAGTAGAAAGAGTCAGAGCGAGAAGAAGGAGAGAAAATTAAAGTGAAAAACGCCGGCAAGCAGAAAGAGACAGAGCTAGAATGAACAGACAAAGGCAACGTGAAAGAGAAATACAAAGGCAAAGAGAACGGCAGCAACATAATGACATAATGACAGAAAGTGTTGTGTTAATGTCACTATGGCCCCGCGTTACTAACATTTTGATTTCAAACTGATCTCGGACGCGAAAATTCAGCCAATCATTTAAAAACACAAGCAGGGAAGACAGTGGCTTTTCACTTTTCTCACCATAGTCACGCGATGATCACGCTCTACGAACGTCCAATTTTTATGTTCTGATTGGTGAAAATTTGACAGGTGAGTTCATGCAGAAAATTTATACAGCATCTTGAACCTTGTTTACTTTGACAGCTGAAGCTGACAGAGTATTTTGTCAACTTGTGATGTTTTTGACTGTCTTTTCCCACTGGATGCTTAAAATGAAATGCAGCTGCTATCAACAGTCTTCTTTGATTCATGGCTGGTTTGTTTATTGAATTTTTGGTTGGGAAATGCGCCGGTTGTCAAAGTTGGAAATCCGATTTCGGATGCATCGTTTTTCGTTTTTCACCTTGCTGGATGCGGGGTTGGAAAGTCCCTCAAGCGATTCTGGCCTTACTTGATAGCTTTCAAGAGCCGCATCTCGAATGGTAAGCCTGAGTAATTATTGTATACAGTGTATGTTTGTTTTTTTATATCTAATTTCATGAAGTCGAGCGCAGTTTATGAGGCTAATTTATGCACGTTTGTATTAAGATCTGAGACAATGATCTGATCTAGTATATATAAGCTTCCAGAGCTTTAAAAAGCCTTTAGTCGATATTTTCTCTCCGCATATAGAATGAAAAACGTTCCGAAGAGTATTTAGTTATAATTTTGGCTGTAGAAAGAAAGCTTTGAGCGATTTTCTTGCCTCCAGTTCATCCCTGAAAACAGTAAACACCAGGAAGAAGGCTATAAGCTTTAGGCTTAAGCGTAAAGACTCAGGATTTTTAGAGACGCTTTAATACTTGTCTTCGCGAACGAAAATTGTTGTCTCTGTAAATGTTTCACCGAATTACATTTCTTTTATTGATTGTTAGTAGTACATAGGGCCTATATTGGTCCTAACCAATCAGAGCGCGAGAAAGACAATAGGGGTATTGTTTTTTAGGGTCACGTGACTCATTAGCATTGGAACGTCATCACTTGTGTTCACGTGACCCATTTAGACCAATCAGCGGGCAGCTGTCTGGCATGGGGAATAGAACATACGCATTCATAGGAAGACCCCTAGCTGCGTGGTGGTTGGACGCATGCGCAGTTCGGCCCAAGGCTTTTGCCCTGCGCAGTCACGTGAATGGGACGGTAAGCACATGCGCAGACCGCCAAACTACTCCCCAGGTCCCCCGCATTCATATGAGCGCATTTCCGCGTAGACCTACTGCGCATGCGCAAACGCTCAAAACAAGCCCCAGACCCCTCGCAACACCGGAAGTCCATAAAAAACACACGGTATGGAGGTCAAAATCAACTTTTTTTAATGAAAATCTCGACAGTAGCCTTGTTACAAGCGGGACGTATGTGACGTCCAAATGACGTCACGCCTTTGATGATTTAATACACAAAGTAAATGTAAGGTGTTTGCTTCCTGGCGGAAGAAGTCATGAGCAATGGATGAGGCCATGGAATATAATGGTTGAACTTTAACCTTGACCATGGTTTGATTAAATGGAAACGGAAATTGGTAAAGGTGTCTGAAACGAATCAGAAGGAGGGTGGTTAGATCCAAGAAGCAAACTGAATGAGATAAAGTCGACCATTGCAACGCACGAGGCGGTGGTTTATTATCCATTGATTGACTGGAAGACAAAAAAAATGACTTAATTACAAGCGGGGCGTGTGTGACGCCCTAGTGGCGTCACGCCCTTGAATGATTGTATACAAAAAAGTTCTAATAAAAACCACTCTTGGTTAAAGTTGAAATGGTCTAGGATCCAATGAGTTTCTGAGAAAAAAATCAACGTCTTAGTTTGAAAAGATGTAATAAGCTGGACCATCCTTGATGATTGACGATACAAAGTTTATGAGGGATGAGCCAGCTTTTGAAAATCATCACACGTCGGATGATCCAATGGGAATCTAATTGAATGAAAAAAAAAATAAGAATGAACATCCAGCAGGGGTGGCGCCACCATGCAGACCTCCCCCTACCGGGTGTTCAAAATTCCCATCCTATGCTGTCCATCATGGCACAGCCCCGACAGGGTTCATGGAGGGTGGACACGTGACGTAAGTAAATCCAACAGTGTTTGCAGACAAAATATAATTGTCCAGTCAGATTTTGTACGTTTCTCCTCGTGTGATTGTCCATCACCTGGGTAGTGGCTGAAAAAGGGAAGGGAGATAAATCGCTCGTATGACAAAACGAGAATCTGAACAGAAAAAAAGCATTTTCAAGAACGGGGTGGATATCCCATGTCTTGCATTATCTCACACCAATAACATGGCGCATGTAAGTCACGCACACGACGAAAGTTCAAATAACAACAACAACAGAGTAATTTGAGTGGACTCGGAAACGGAAGAGGGACCCCTGATCCAGTGTACCACTGCACGATACTGCCGAGGTGCTGAGAATGGCATGCGAATCTACGAAAAAAATTAATAATGATAATTTTGTAAGCTCATTAATAAGTAAGCCATGTGGTCTCGGATCCACTGGTGGTTCTTGAGATGGGAATGCGTGCCTAAAAAGCAGTGTGATTGCAGAACTCAACGAGATGTTGAACACTATGAATATGGCATCTGTGTTGCAAGGGGATGATCCACCCATATTGTTCAATGGTGGAATTTACATCTGAAACGTTTCATGAAGACTGATTACGCATTTGACAGTACTGTAATGACACCTTAGTTGAACGGGTCTAATCCTTCCTCCATATTGTTTTAAAGTATAATGAAAGCCTACAAAGAGGTGGAAAGTCCAATCAGGATGGGAATACTGGTGTGAAAGAAACCAGATTGCAATGGGCGGATCCATTGCGTGTGATGTCGTAAGAGGCAATGCGTGCCTGAAAAAAATGTAAAATTAAATTAATCATCTAAAAAGCCAAGGGCAGCCAAATCAGGTTCACCCACGGGACCATGGGCCAGGAGAAAAGAATTAATCCGGAAGGTCATGCGCAGGGGCTAATCGTCCCAGTCTCGATGGTTGGGGTCGCCATTCTGCACATATTCTACTATTTCATCTTCCGTCAAAGACCCCTCTCGGTTGCCGGAAATGACATCGTCTAGTCTTAAGCCGTCCATCATCCGTTCACAGTGATTGCAGACCCCGCCATGGGTGGGATGGGCGACCCACTGATAAATGTGGCAGACGGGTTGGTTTTCCACGAAATCTAAGGATTCTATCAAAAAAAAAACGACAGGAACATCTAGGTACCCAGAAACGCGCGGCCCAATTGAGTCTAGCTCGTCGACGGCAAAGACAAAGGTGGACAGGCCACAGGACTTGCCGTAGAAAATCGACCCCCGGGAACACGTCTATGAATCAAGAAAAAATGGGGGTATGAGGAAACCCACACCCGGGCTATGAAAAAAAGCAAAATGGGACTCACCCGCCATTCGACGGCGATGGACCTCATGATCGAGTTTCCGGGCAACGGGGTGGTCCCACGGCAGCGTTTTGGTCCAATCCCTCAACTGTTCATGGGTACATCTTCTGAATAGGGCTTGTAGACATTCATGACCCATCGGGAGGTGATGCAGGATCTTCAACATATCATAAAGGATCGCGATCGGTACGGAGTACAACACAATGGACTGCAGCAAGCTCACCATCTTGACCAGTACAACTGAACAAAGTGGAATGAGCCAACACTGGGCGCGCAGCGTGATTTAGAGAATCAGCTAGAGGAGCTGATTGGTGGAGAGACATCATGTGGGATATTGAACACGAGAGGAGACTCTAGGGGGTGCCCCCCATGGGTACACTTTTTCTGTATTGGACCCAAAGTCCTGGCGCGAGGCGGGGATTGGTGGAAACAAGAGGATTAATAAGGGGATGTCAAGGGAGACGTCAGTTGCCTGATGTGAACCGTGTCAGGATGGACTGCCGAGGGTTGGTCGATCCCAAGAACAAACCGTTTGGTCGTGTGTTGCCCTTGGAGGTGCAGATCAAGATTATGTTTTGGGTGCACTGTTTTTACACCATGGACAAGCGAAAGAAGGTGGTGCGAGAAGTCAAGGGGTTGCCCAGATGCGACCTCACAGGCTTCCCCCAACATCTGGGCGAAGGTCGACACTGGAACCAAGTGGTGGTTCGTTTGCACGCACCCAGGAGAAATGGCTGTCACCACTGCCACCGCCTCATAGATCACCGGATGTCGGTGAGTGAAAAAGTATTTTTTGTTGTGATGGGTGGAAAAATGGCTGAGTCTTTTTTTTTCTGGGTTTCAGATTGGCATGATGGTGGAAATGGCGCGTCAGCCCCCCAATCTCGACAACCTGATGAACGAGGGCATTGCGTTCATCATTAACCGATTCAAGAGTGAGATCCCCAAGTGTCCCATTGGTCAGCGCCCCGTCATGATTGGCAGGAGGAAGGCCGCCTATGATACTGTTGACAAAGTCATGAAACGCTTGGATTTGATCATGAATGTCATGTCATCCATGAATTTTATTGTCATTGACATACATTAAGATTGTGATTAAAACAGGTAGCTTGCTCTATATCAGTGTCTTTTTTATGTTCATATGCGTTTGAATAAAGTCTCCAGGAAGGGATACACTGCCTGGTCTTCTTCACGCGTGCCTACAATGGCGGTCTTGTCTTGGAGGGTGGGTAAAGCGATTTGTTCCTCGGTCATGCCTTCACAGGGTTGATATTGACCTAGGGTGGGATTCCACCAAGACCATTGTTCCATATCCACAACAAACACATAGAGGGGTTTGCCTAATAGCTGAGCCATGACCACACTCCATCCCGTCCCACCCAACAGATGCTTGCGTAACTCGTCAAAATAGCCCACCGCCAAGACCAAGGACGCAAGCTGGATCACGTGATAATTGCGTTGTATATACTGGAGGCTGATGGGATGATGGATTTGTCGACCCAATCGAAACGCCGCCTGGGTGACAGTGGGTGTGGCTGCGTCCAAATCGGACTGGGTCAAGGGCGCGAGGGACTTGGCTCGAGGGTGACAGGGTGGGATGAGGACCACACACGAATGACCATACAGGTGACATAATCGCTCCACATGCGTGTCCACGCCTTTGGCACCCCCGTGTAAATGGTCAGGGGCATGATCTGTGAAAAAAATTAAAAACAGTGTTTATGGTGAGATAAAGGAGTCCAAGCCCACATGGTATGCGGTTCATCATCGGCATACAGCAGGGGTGTTTGCCATTCCCGACAGGTGACGGTTTGTTCGAAAATGCGTCGGACCGTGCTGCATTCGTTGCAATTGTCAGGGATCCAATCCAGTCCTTGACCTCGAGCGAACGCCTCGTCTTTTTCTTCCTTACAATAGTTGCATAACAAATAATCCATCAATCGATCACACCGTCGTTGCCACAGCACGCGTTGGGCATTGACTTGGAAGAGGGTAGGCAGGACATTGGATTGGCGACGTAACCATCCACTCATTTGACAGGCCCGTACTTGAGCGCAATGATCGTGCCAGACCCCACTCCGGCGTTCCCCGTCGGTATGATCCATGCACCAATTACGGCCCTGATCATGGGTGGCCATGACATTGACAGTGGCAATGGGAAGATGGGCCAAGGCCCGGCAGCCCTGCCCTTCGAGGACCACGATGGGGTACGAAAATCCGGGTTCGTGCAACAATCGATACAGTCCATTAAGCGTGAACACCCGAGCCTACCCCGCTGGGGGGTGAGATACTGTTGACACCAGCGGGTGATATCGTCCTTGATCTGATGGTAGGGATGGAATGCATGGCGGTTGTAAGCCGTGTACGGTTCAAATGGCAAGCCATGCACTGTCCGGGTCTGACGATCCACGGGGGCTCGGGCCTCCGCGGATAATTGATTGTACGACACGCCCATGGGTAACTGGTATTTGAATAAGGCATGATGATGCCCCGTCCAATCACAAAAGGCCAGTTCTCGAATAATATACTCGTCGCGGGACATGGCAAACCCCTGACTGTACACCAAGAGACCCACTTCGTTGAGCGCCATGATCGCTTACCGTAAATCAGAGAGGACCGCTCCTAATGAGACGACCTTCGAACCACCTCTGGTTTTATAGCGGAAGGCGTGTGCTCTGATTGGCGGACAGTCCGATCACACCACCCTCACGAGAGCACGGGCTGAGTCAGGATTGGCGGAAAAAAAGATTATACGAGAATCACGAGACTCAGGGTGATGGACAGGTCTTGGGTTATAAAAGGCAGGCAAGACGCCCACCAAGAGTCATTTCAGCCGAGGTATGGAGCGTCAAGACACTCAACCTGCTGCTGTGCCATCAGGACGCAAACGACGTCGAGTGAGTAGTAAGAAACCAAAGCTGGAAGAGGAAGCCCAAGCGCCAGCCCCAGACATGAAAGCCACCCGTGAACTCGAGATGGCCCTGATCGGCCTGCCCCGAGCTGAAGCCCTAGACATGAAAGCCACCCAACCCCCTACCAGTGAACTCGTGGTGGCACTGAACGCCCTGCCCCGAGCTGACCCGCTGCCACCCCCCACAGCATCACCCGTCCAATCTGTGAACGAATTGATGGAGGGAACCCTGAAAGACTATGAGGAAGAATGTGTAGAGGAAGGGACGTTTCATTCGGATCCTACTACTGAAGTTGGGGAATGGGAAGTACAGGACCTCGACCATATGGAAACGCAGTTGAACCATCTCCTCTATGAAACGTGCCCATTTCATCCTCACCAATTCATCCATTGTGTCAACCCCCAGACCCAATTTGGCCAGTTGAGGTTCAAGTGTCCCCAAGAAGGGTGTCCCGTCTATTTGTTTGAAGAGTCTCGAGAGGTGATGATGGAGAAATTGAAAGAAGACACGCATCCTCAAGTACGTGCCCGATTGCAACGAGGGGAGCTAAAGTGCCAATGTGGGTTCGTCCCCAAGATGAAATTGAGTCGTACCAATAAGAGTTACCAGAAAGTGTTTTTCAGTTGTGGGAGCTTTCTCACCCATGCAAAACCCTGTAGCTACTTTCAATGGCTCCATGGCCCCCTGTGGTGTCCCCGAGAGCAAGCGCAACCCACCCTGAGACGATGGGTGAAAGACACACCCCCTGGGATCCAATACAGGGAGGATCAACCTATTCCCCTTTGGAAAGGAAAAAGCCAAGAGATGGACTTTGTGAAAAGGAATAGGCCGTGGTTCAATCAGTTTGGGGAATCCGCCAAAGCCCAGGAGGGAGAGTATGAGAAAAGGCGTCATTTGCATAAGAACTTTGGTAGCTCGTGTTTGTTTTGAAAAAATCATGTAGGTGTGTGAAAAAACTATTAAAGAAAGAAATTGAATAGGATGGTGTGTCAGTGTCTTGATGTCGTTGCCACGCGCTTACGAAGATCCCCAGGAACCCGGGGCCTTGGGCGGGGTCCAACCCTTTGCCAAAGCCCATAAATTGAAAACCCCGCAAGCGCAACGGATTCTTCAATCCGTGTTGAGTTATACGCTCCACAAACCCCGACGGACGCGGTTTCCCACCACGCCCACGTTGGTCTTTGACTGAGACGAACAATGGCAAATGGATTTGGTGGACATGCAAAAACTCAGTCGATGGAATATTGGCAACAAATATTTGTTGACCGTGATCGACGTCCTGTCCAAGTATGCCTGGGCCGTCCCCATCAAATCCAAAAGCACGCAAGAGATGATCCGAGGGTTGACACGCATTTACCAGCAAGCCTCGCCGCGGCGACCGCTCCGCGTGCAGACAGATCAAGGCAAAGAATTTTACAATCGAGGGGTGCAAGCCTGGTTCAAGAAACAGGGGACGCATCATTTTTCCACGTATGGGGATAGCAAGGCCTCCGTGGTGGAACGATGGCATCGCACCTTGAAACAGCGCATGTACCGGTATTTCACCGCTCACAATACGTTACGGTACGTGGACGTCTTACAACCCTTGATCCATACGTACAATCACGCCTATCATCGCAGCATTGGCATGGCCCCGCATCAAGTCACCCCCAATACCGTGCCCGACGTGTGGGATAGACTCTAAGGCCAGCGCTTGTACCCCAAGACCCCATCTCCCAAATGCCAAGTGGGCGATCGTGTACGCCTCAACAAGAAACATCGCCCCTTCCAAAAAGGGTATTTGCCTGGCTGGACGGAAGAAGTGTTTGTGGTCACGCACGTTCGTCGTCATCCTGTGGTCACCTATCGACTCAGTGAATGGGACGGCACGCCTATAAAAGGCACGTTTTACGAACCCGATGTCCAAAAAGTGTAAGTGTCGGACCACTCGTTATTTCGGGTCGAAAAAGTCTTGAAACGCAAAGGACGCCACGTGTTGGTCCGGTGGAAAGGGTGGCCTGCCAAGTACGATAGTTGGATTCCCGCGCAACCCAGACATGGTACGCGTAAACATAACGCCTCGAAAAAGAAAAAAGCGGGTGAGGTTTTTGGATGAGGTCCAGACGGATACCAGCCGACCACGAGCCAGTTACACCTCACCACCCACCCATGACGCGGACATTCTGAAATTCATCCTCAAGAAAGCCGCCGACCAACGACGAGCCAACGTCAACAGGATGGCGGGGGTCGCCTTTGGTCAACAAGCCCTCCGTTCTTACACGGCGGCCCAAAAGAAACAACGCCGACACGCCGGTCGTCATCCACCCATGCGCAACAAGAAACCTACCAAACCCAAAACCTGCATGACCCTGACGGAACTGGCACGGGCCTTTCTCAACATTGCCCAGCAAGTGTGTTTTCATCCCAAACAATCGACCTTCAATTCGTTGGTGGGACGAGTCCCTCGTAGCAAACAGAAGGTGGACCAGTGGCTATAAAAGGACCCTGCACCCTCTCGGACGCGCCTCTTGTTCATCATCATGAGTGAGATTAAACGCCTGACGCTCATCAGCGATCCGACCGACGAGTTTCCCAAAAATGCCAACAACAGTTTCAAGGTCCGACTGCCCGAACGTCTCTCCTTACCGGGCGAGGGCTGGCATGCCTCGTTGATGTCCCTGACCGTCCCGGATCAAGGACAGAGCAATGCCGTCATCGCCGCGGATCCTCATACGAAAGTGGTCAAATTCAAATATCCACATGTGGTCCGCAAGTATCAACTAGGCTCCCATCGTCGTGTGGAAAACCCCAATTCTGGCGGCGAAATCGAATTGGAAGATGTCATGAATGCGAATCAAATCGTGGCGACGGGGAGTCAGTTTTGGAAACGAGTGATGCAAGAAGTGCATAACAATATCATGGCCGCACTGATGAAAAAACAATTCGACATGCTGGTCGCTAATCGCGACGAACGACCTATTGTCAGCGTCAAAAAAATCGCGATGCCCCAACTGACTTGGAAAGAGGATTCCCTGGTGATTCAGGCGGTTCCCAAAAAGGATTTGTTGAACGTGAACCAAATCACCACGGTGCAGTTTTACATCAACTTGGACATTGCGCTCAAGTTTGGATTGTTGCTCTAAAAGTCTGGTAG